AGGAGAAAAGGTGCCCAAATTCAACCAATGAGGTCTGGACAAGGTTTGCAGTGAGGCAGTGAAGCTAAAGTGTGCCTGTGTGGGGCCCAATGCTTTTGTTCCGTCTGCACCTGAATGGATGGTAGGAGTTGGTGCAATATATGCTTGCTTTTTTCCAGTCCCATATCGTGTTAGAGGGGGATCTCCCATTGAGATAGTGCCACATGCAAAGGATGATAGTGGGACATGCAGATAATGCCCCAGGCAGCCTCCCTTTTCCTTCTTGGATGGTCCAGCAGAAACAACAAAGGATCAAGAGAAGAGAAAAGGAAATTGCCCTTTTTACTTAAAACCAGGATTTTGGGACCAGCAGCTGGTATGGTGGTTAAGGCACTGGACTCCCATATGGCCAATCACAGTTTGAGTCCCAGACTTGGTGGCTTGAAACTCATGCTGGGTGCATGTGCATGTGTACCCAAGATCCTGAGAGGAGCATGGAGGAGAAGGGATTGTGGTGTGGCCATCCCCCCCAGGACAAGGGGTGACTTCTTGCTTTCTGTCTCTCTGGTGAGTACACATGCTCTATAGCTAAAACCTCCCTCCAAAAATAATTGTTGCCCATGCACTCAAGAGGCCGTTTCTGGGCCAGCAGATGGCATGGTGGTTAAGGCACTGAATTCCCACATGGCTGACTGTGGTTTGAGGCCTGGACCAGAGGCTTGAACATCATAACAAATAAATAGATAAATAAATAAATGTTGGGGGTGGAGGGAACTACCAAACTGAAGAGGCCATTTCTCAATACAACAGTGCCACCCGCTGGAAAGAAATATAATGTACACCCCTTGTGAAAAGTAGCTTCGTGGTTCCCCATGACTTAGGGCTTTTGTAGGGTCTTGCCTGATATCCTTATTTCGGGGGAGTCCAGTGAAAACTGATGATGACCCTAAAATCCCTCGCTAGATAAATAGAAATGGTACCCCTAAAAGAGTAGTCAACTGGGGCCAGCAAGAGGCATAGTGGTTGGAGCTGTGGACTCTCACATGGCTAACTGAGGTTCAAATCCAGGGCCTGGTATCTTGCTTTCTCTCTCTCTCTCTCTCTCTCTCATGAGTGCATGTGCCCTGCAGCAAATTAAATAATAAATAAATTAATTAAATAAACCTTAAAAAAAGAGAGAGAGAGTAGTTAGCTTAGCCCTAGCAACATCTCAGTTTTACATGAAAAATGGCCAACTACTGCTTTGGGAGAAACCAGTGAAGCAAAGATGTGGCTCAATGTGACCCTTATGTCTCAGGAGTTCACCTATATTTCAGGGCCTGGCTCACCAATGGCTTAGCAAAGTCAAAAGCCAATGAGTTCAGAGCTGCTGCAGCTATCCAGCCTCAGGGCCAGCTGTGTAAGTCTGACAGCTGTGTCCCCACTCTGCTCAGTGGCAGAGCACGAGGGCGTTCTACTATAAGCCTGTCCAACACTGTCCTGATGAAGCTTGTTACATGACTCACGGGGTTGCCAAGCAGGCTGTGCAGATTGTAACCTGCTGAGGCCAGCTGGGTGAAGGTGCCAGGGGCTGAAACCCAGCCCAAGCCAAGAGAGAGACATTTTTTTCTAATGCGCCCAAAGGCATATAGAGAGCTGGGGCCTTAGGCTCCTGCCTCCACCTCTATTGCTTTGGTTCAAGCCACCATCATCTTTTAGGTGGACTACAATAGGTCTCCATGCTTCCTC